AGAGAGCGCTTCTGTGACGAAGAGGGGCGTGGAACGAAAGATACTTGTATTGTCTCTTCCTGATCATTTAATGCAATCAAACAGTTTGTCAGATAACTAGCACGCAGAATATCCACTGCGACCAGCATGGTAAAATCCATGCAAAAGGTTTGAACGGTTTAAAATGCTCCTAATAAAAGTATATGAATTAACGAAAGAGAAAAACTGAAAGATTTTTAATAATCTGTTTCACTGCCCTTCAACAGCTTCATCAAACGCCTATTGAAATATTTATTCGCAAATAGATAATCAAACAGAAACGTTATTCGAACTAACATAATACAGGTAAGTGAGCATGGCTGAAGCAATATATCTGGAAATATTTTAGAAAAGTGCAGAATTAGATCGTCTTACGAACAGTGTTAAATCGATGGATTACAAAATTTCAAATATGCGTCCGAACTTATCTCCTACTCCTTCCTAAGGGAATCAGACTTACTGCGAGCCGCTACCACTTTCTGCTTCGAATAAGCAACTGCTCCAAACTGCAGTCTACCAAACTCATTCCTTCCTCAGCAACCCAAAATAATTTTCTGTCAAGCAAAAAGGTTTCATCCGAAGTGCACTCCCAAATTATTCCACAACAATTAATTTCCACCCACGATATGAATCAAATACTTAATTATGGTTTTATATAATTTGCACAGGAGCAAAATGTGCTATTCAATTTAAAGGAGCAATGCACGCCTAAAACTGTAGGATTTCGATGTGATCTTCTCAGAAGAATATGAACTATTTTTTGCCGAAAGTCACCTCTAAATCCTATTCATGCAGATTCGAACTTTAGCAGCAGCTTGACCCCTTCAGAATACAACGATATATCTCAAGCCTTAAGGCTGAATGCCCGGGAATATTTTTGTAATATACATACTAGGCGATGTTATTCATTAAAATAAGAAGGACTGGTACTATTATTGTGAAACTAGACCCAGTAAGCTATCATCCTGAAGACCCCACAAGTGTTCTTCAGTGCACTACGTTATATCAAACCGGACACTATAGGTTGCCACGCTTTTATTGAATTCTAAAGCAGCGCACCCTCAAACACACTTTAGCTTGCAAAACTGCCTATGCGATTTTTTCCTGAAAGCCTAGCTTCACAACTTGCCGAGTCTCAATGTACCACCTACCCTGGTCGATACCATCAAGGTTCTGTGAACTGTTTCTCCAAAGACCGACACTCATTGTCGGAATCCTTTTCGTAATGAGGTTAGCGGTGCTCAAGGCAAGTCCATGTGCAGTGAGTGGGTAAACGGTACTTCCTTGCACAGTGTGCAGCATCACTTATCTAAATAATAAAATAAAACACTGCTCAAGCTAAAGGTTTGTATACACGAGGCCCAATGACAATAGGATGGCTGCATCTCGCTGCATTGTCATAATTCTGTATATCGTTATGGATCAGAAAAATGATGCTCGATTTGCAAAAATTTGCCTTAACCTGTACCATCAAGGGACAGGCAATTCGCTCAAGAAAACAAAGTACAAAACATTTAGCCGGAACGAGCGAGAGTCATCCATCAAACGGATGACCAGTGGACGGTGTCCGCTATGCAGTGCCGGCTGTCACACGCTAAACATCAAAAAAGCAAGGTCAAAACCCTCTCAGTCAATGGCAGGTAAACGCCAAAATGACCCGGATAGTTGCACAATGTTAACAGCAACCATCCACTTAGAGGACTCTCAGTGCTGTTGTGTTCGTGTAAACTGGTGACAGTTCTCACATCATAGCAAACAACAGTGCCAGTTTATCATCGAATCCAGTCAACGAATCGTAGAGGAGGGGACGGGGGATGTTGCTTAGTTAAGGAATTGAACCATCACCTGTCCTTGTGGGCAACGTTTCTCACTGCAGTAGCAAGCTCTGTAGCATACTGAATATGCAATAAAGAAAATACATATTTTAATCAGTAAGCAATGGATGCTTTCCACGGCTTCTCGGCATTGCATTGCGTTGCATTCTGCATATAGGATTCAGTGTCATTGTGCGCTCGATTTCGCTGTAATACTTCGATTCTAGGATCGGAATACAGGCGCGTTGTCGCTGCATCGCTATAAACACTCTTATCAGTATGGTGATCATCACGTCCGCTCATTTCCTGGAAACAAAAATTGATTGAAATGAGGGATGCAAAAGGCTTTTTTTCTTGACTGACTTCAAGATGACCCATTTTGGCATTCATTTCTTGATACCCCGTCCACCCACCTCTTCCCTTCTCGTCATCTCTCCTGTAATTTCGTAATTACACGCAAAATTTCATGCAGAATATTTTTGGAAACTAGGCATATCATTAAGCGCACTGAAAGCGCTAAGTAATTTACAGCAAGGCTCATCTTACAAATGACGTCAATCTGTAGAAGATTAGACAAGGCTCAGAGATGACCTGCCTAATTCCCATGATTAGAGAGGCCAGTACAAGAAAAAAGTCTTTAAACGAAAATAATTAATAAGTGAAGAATTATTTTTGCCTCTTTATCTCAATGGCGCATGTAATTAACGAAAACGGATGATGAAAGAGTAGAAAAGAGAAGAAAGGAAGGAAGGGGAGAGCTTAAAGCGCATAAAATAGCCATACAGAAGGCAAAACTCGAAACGCTGGACTAAAAGATGTGGAATTTAGATATTACAGTTGGAGAATGGCACAAAACTTCACTATTCACGCGGAAAAAAATGCCCTTTATGATAAGTTGTTAACATAAAAAACCAATTTAACTTTGTATATGCTTGTAATGACCCAACAAACTGCAAAAGCTGCCTTTTTATTTCCTAACAAGTTCTGTTTTGAACATATTTCCTCTCCTCTCTAAAATCAAAAAGAATTGGCGTTCCGTGCATGGACAGGGAATCGCCCCCTCTCGCTCTCTGTGGTACTCTTGCACTTCACTGTAGCTGATGAGGCAGTCGAAAGAGGTTTCGCTTGACTGGTTCAGAGTTCGGTCATACAATCATGCAAGACTGGCTCAACTCACGGCGCAGTGATGTGAACGTCGTTCCGATGTGTACGCGGATACGGTAGGCCTAACACTAGTAGACACACTAAAATATGGGCTCGGATTTTGCGTAGTATCCACGGAGAACTGATCACTTCTTTGATAATCTGGTTGAGGTATGTATATATTAGTGCGTGCTGTTGATCGTGAACGATAACGAGACGCTGCCTGTAAGAATGATAGAGCGAAATCAGACAAGAGTAACATTAAGAAAATTAAAATTCTCATTCTTCGAGGGCGATTTCTTCTATACCAGTACAAAATTGACGATTAGGATGTAATCCTGAGAATTTCGACTGTCCACCAAATGCTTTTCGACTGCACCAAAAATTCGCCGCGGAGCCGAATTTCATATTGACGGTTCAGCAGGTATTCCCTGTGTACATTACAAAAAACGCCAGTGTGAGATTTATTATGTCGCGCAATCTTTCCAAAACCGCTGCCTAATCCCTGCAAAGTGAATAATTTCAACTTTAACGAACCTGCATATCGTCGAACTTTCGTTCATTCCGGAATGCTTCCATGTCAAACATTGCTGCTTTGGAGCGAACATCGGAATGTATTTTGCTGAGTTCCTTGCGGGCCTCGCACTCACCAAATACTTCAAACGATTTCATTGTGGTTTCCACTGATGGCACAATTGACACCTCACCATTACTGTTTTTGGAATGCTCCAAGTCCATGCCAAAATAACGCACTGGCACTTGTTGTTGCTGCTGTTGCCGGAAATCTAAAATTTTATAATTTCCACCAAAAAATCCATCATTTTCTTGAGAAATCAGTAATTTATGCAGATCTTTAGTTGCAACGTAGGTCCCAATTTTCAGTTTTTAACATTTTCATAGTACCAAATAGGAGCTAGAAGCAGTCATTAACGACGCTCAACTCTAATACATCTCAGAAAAAAATCAGCACACAGTCTTAACAGTGACTGAATAAATTCTCAGGACGGCGTCCTGACCTATCGGTGCGCAGACTAGCGGGCACCTTCCATTCGAAGATGACACATACACAACTAGAAAGCACAAAAGAACTGAAGAAAGAAGGAAGATTACCGCAAGCAACCGTGAAGAATCCAAAAATTCTCGGCACGTGCTGATGCAAATGTGTTGATGTCAAAACCATGGTCAAAAGTCGCCATGCTCACTTTGGGTAAAAAGCGAAAGCGCTCGGAAGCAGCTCGAGTGGTAGCACGTACTAACAGCAACTGTTTGCTGACAGTGCACTGAGAGTGCGGCTTACTCTCAAGGGTTTATGTCCAGCAATCTGATGGTGGTTGCAATATAAGTGCATGAAAACCCTCTGTATTCCAATCGAAATCCTCTCCTCCTGAACAACTGCATCATGCTACTCTACCTTAAGAAGTAAGTGACTTATTTTTTTGATGCTGAGCCTGACAAAAAAATGGTGCAGCTTTCTTGGACAGCCAGAGCAAGTACGCTGTGTCAAGTAAGTTACGAAAGGATGATAATTTTTCTATCAATAAGAGAACAGCACACTTATAAATGAAATTAAAATGACTGCAATGAAAACTATGTGAAGTTACTTAGGACAAATAAGATAGGACAACCTTCTTTAACAAAAGCAATTTCGCGTTCGAGACGATTTTCGACATCGTTCACCCAGCTGAAGTCAATGTCGCTAATTTCAGTCTTCACATTTGAACTCTGCGTTAACGAGCTAATTGTTGAACCATAGTCCGTGTTCCTGCACGATTCTTAATTTAACTTATTTCCTTAAACACAGCTCGACAAATCCAAACTGATAAATGCAGCAAAAATTTGCTTATGCACTGGACAAATGCCCTTAATTGCCAAATCAAAAATGACCTTTTGAGCGGAAGATAACCCAGCGGAGTTTGCTGCGGAGTGCTTATTTGCGCAGCCGTACCAGGAGCTACATTGCACTGCTGCAATGAATTTTCAGTTGTCTCTTTCTTCGAAAAAATCTGAAAACATGCCGAACACAGCGAGACAGTGCAGTTTAAATATTTATAAACATGCAGATATGCGCACCACGTGGTCATAGTCTAGCTGCACCTTTTTGCAGTGAGCTGTAGCAGATGCTCAGTCCCTAACTATACCGGTGTGCGAAGCTTCAGTTATGTTATGCTTGATCCGGTGTGCGAGAAACGCTAGAATTTTAAATTTGCAGTCTGCTCCGTCTTGACTTGCACCAGCCAGATCAAATTTGAATAGGGCTCTATGGAATTTGCCCATTAGGGATTAGAGACTGATTTTTGGCCACCCAGCCAAAAACGACCAAATAAAAGTTCAGAAATTTGCAAATTCCATCTTCCTTCCTCCTAGATTTACAAAATTAGCTTAAGTGTGTTTTCTAAAACCTCCCCCAAGGTGCAGCACGGCTTTAAGTCTGATTTTCAAAATAAATCACCCGAATTCCTGATTACCGGATTTCTTGATTTTCGAGTTACAAAATAGCCAAAATCGGACTGGATGTCTAAGGTCAGAAGACTAATTAATTTAAGACAACAATCTCGCACAGGTTCGAACACTATGTTTGCAAAAATTCAGTTTTGAACCTTTTTCGGATGTAAAGTTTATTTATACGGATAAAGAGACAATGCGTTTTTTATGCGTAATTTAGATAATAAAGTGCGTTTTCTTATAGAGGTGTTTTAGTAAAGAACGGAAGACATTAAGTCCATACAACTGTAACATAACCAAACTACTTTTCGCAATTAAATAATTTGGCCAAGCAGTCGTGAAATTTAGTAAAATCTTCGTGCTCAGGCAGACCACCAACTGCTACCAAACTTTGCTAGTACACCATACGCAGCGCTCAATAAATTTGAACAAGCGGAAACCTTATCGGAGTCGTCTGAGATCAATTCATCGTTTCTGACGAACAACTGGGCGTTCTTTTCGAGGATTTTCTTTGCTTCGGGTGTTATTTTGATTGGCATGATGTGCTCCGAGTAATTATCATCATTATTATTTGTCTTGTCTCCGCTGAACAAATCACTTCTATCGATTGAATCGCTTGACTGTCGATAATGGTGAGTGAACTCGTTGGACGTTGCAGCGCCCGGGTGATCCGGAACTCCTGCCAGCGCACTCGCCTTTCCCCCATAATTCATATCGGGCGAGCCATCAGCCTTCCATCCTATGTCGTAGTCTATTCCCTTAACAAACGCTCCAGCGTTAGCCAAAGCCTGCTCTGCTCGGCCCTTTCCAACCGGCCTGCCTTGTTTCAGCGCTGTTGGAGATCCAACAACACTAGCATCAATCATAGAAAATCGCGCTCTTTGGAGTTTCTCGTTTGACGAATTCTTGCATTGTAACGGTGACTGTTTATTTTGTTGCGCCAACGAGGAACGATCTGTAGTTGACGTCAGTCGGCTACGATCCGATGTGTTGGTGGACGGCGCTGAATTCAGCACTCGTAGATCTGATCCAACAAATCCATTGGAGCAACTGCTGAAATGGCACAAAGTGAAATCAGAAAAACATTGGCACTGATCGACTGGTCAGAAGCAAGTGAGAAATATTCAGGGTAACAACTCAAAACGATCAACCTGCTAATAGTTGACTTTGGCGGAGCAGCAGCAAGTAAATCCGGGACGGCATCACCAAATGCATGTGTTTTTCGTGATTTTTTGCATCCTTTCCAGCTACGCTTCTGCACAACGGGTGCGTCTGCATAATTGTCCAAAGCCTGGCTGCAACATCAAAGTGTTACTGCATGCTAAAATAAACCCTAAGCCAGCACAAACAGATTTGCAAGCCAGCTCCTCCAGCTGAGTTTTGGTATACAAATAACAGCCACTCCGACTGAAGTTGACAAAGAACACAGGAAAGGGGTACCTTCACACTCGTTGAATGATCGCGTAATGCAACAACGTGGAACAGGAACGAAAGCGAAGTCGATGTTAATTTGTGATTCAAGACAGAGGACACGTATAGCCGTCGAAGTTTCTTCTTTCAGTCCAAAATGCATTCAACCTCACTATCCTCGGATCTTTCAATAGATTTACGAACCTGCTTTTGTTCAAGATATTTAATTTTTATGCGTTTTTTGCAGCTATGCAACGCAGAAAACGCATATTGACGAGGGGTTGTCTGTGTGTGTGTCACGTACGGGCCCGTGAAAGTTTTTTATGGGTAAGTCGTTAACTCGCGAACCAGAAAAGCTAGCAAGCTGGAATTTTAAGGGGATATTCCCGTCCAGTAGATATTAATGCACTCAAATCCAGCCCCCGGGTAAGCGTGGTACCCATGTACGTGCCCGTGAAATTTTTTTCGGGTAAGTCGCTAACTTGGGAATCTGAGAAGCTAGAAGGCTGAAATCTTAAGGGGGTGTTTCACGTCCAAGTGAGTATAAATGAGCTCAAACCCAGCTCGCGGCTAAACGTGGTACCTACGTGCGGACCAGTGAAAGTTTTTTTTAGGGTAAGTTGCTAACTCGGAAACCTGAGAAGCTAGAAGACTGGAATTTCGAAGGGATGTTTCTTGACAGTTCTGGCAGCCAGTCTGAGATTCTTTTAGCTAGAAACATCTGCTGGAAAACCCAGCGTCGATAGCGACAAAAAACTGCGGGGAGCTATGCAGAAAACGCATCTTTGCACGGGCAGCCCATGCGTTGGCCAATTATTGAAATTTGACCCAGCCAGGGCCAGAGCAATTTACGCTCCC